GAAGGTTTCCTAATTATGTTTATATTGTTTATGAAGGTTTCCTAAATTATGTTTATACTTTTTAGGAAGTATTTAATTGTTTAGAAAGGTTTCTTAAATTAAGTTTAATTTATCTAAGAAGGTTTCCTAAATCATATTTAATTATTTAGAAAAAAAATTTAAATTATGTTTATATTATTTATGAAGTATTTAATTGTTTAGGAAGGTTTTCTGAATTATGTTTAATTTATCCTAATTATGTTTAATTGTTTAGATCATGTTATTGATAAGTTTTGTGGGTGCTTGTTGTAGTTCTTTTCTTTGAGGGCTTCCTAGCGATTTCTAGGTTGATTGGGAGAGTCGATCTACCTCTCGAATTGTAGATCACTTGTATCTTATTTTCTCTTATTGAAGTTTTAATAAAAAATCAGCCATCATTTTGATTTTATTGTAGTTTTTATATTGTTGTTTGTTGTTTTTGCTTCTATGGTACATCAGGAGTTCACTATTGTATCCAATGGAACCAAACTATGTTGAATGATAATTTTTAATAAAAATCTTCTACTCAAGGAAATTAATTAAAGATTGTCATCATTGCTTATAGACCATTTTAATAAAATCTGTTAATGGGTACTGCATTTTGAACCATTTTGGCAGCTATTTGCCTCGCTTTTTAAAATCTCCCTACTATGTCACTCTTCTCTAATTTACCCGTATTAAAAGATTTATTTTTGTTGGCTACAATATTATAGAACACTATCGTTGCTAGATCTCAAGTCCTATATGAGAAAAGTGGAGGGTTGTATTAGACAGTCGACAACCAGCATAAAACTTGTCGAATAATCATAACATGAATCATTTAATACATTGTGTTAATGCTAGGTGTTCCGTATTTGGCCTGCATACAACAACAAGTGTGCAAGGGCTGTGGCACGGACTCCCAGGTGCAATATTAAATAGGCAAGGGTTCCTAGATCATAGAAACTTGGAATATAGGTACTCTTACAGACAAATTAATGAAATTAATAAATATTATTATTCTTAGGAAAATAAATATTATATGCATTCATAAAACTAAATGGGTTTGATAGAAGGCTGGGAGATTGATAGTTTAGGATTTAAACTATAATATTCTAGTAAGAGTTGTACTATAAATGATGCATATGTGATTATAGATAAGAGTTTAATGGAAAATATTATAAAAATTAATGAAATTGGAGATATAATTATAGCTTTAAAGATTGTTATTGATGTTAAGATTATTAATATTATAAGTGCTTATGCTTCTCATATAGGTTTAGATATATGTTCGAAATTAAAATTTTGGAATAACTTAAAAGAATTAATATAAAATTTACCTCTTGAAGAAAAAATCTTTATTTAAGGAGATTTAAATGGACATGTTGGTAGAGAGATAGATGATTTTAAAAGCATTCATGGTGGCTATGAATTTGGAATGACTAATGAAGATGGTAAGACCATATTAGAATTTTTTTAAGCTTATAATTTTGTAATTCTTTATTTAAGACAAAAATGATCATCTCATCACTTATAAAAATGGATATAGTAAAATTTAGATTAATTATTTTCTTATAAGAAAAATAGATCATTTAGATTGCGAAGATCATAAAATTATTCTAAATGAAAATTTATGTACCAAACATTGCTTATTAGTTTTGTACTTTAAGATGAAAGGATAAATAAATAAAAAATAAGATAAAACGTTGTCTTAGGATTAGATGGGGTATTTAAAGAATATTTTTTAGAATAAGATACTAGATCTTAATATTTTGTCAGTGCATGAGGAAGCTAATGTTATGTGAGAAAAAGTAGCTAGTGATATTAAAAATATTGTAAAAGATGTGCTTGGAGTATCAAGGGGACTTCTAATAGTAAAAATAATTGGTGGTGAAATTAAAATGTGCAAGAAAAGATGAAAAAAAAAAGAATATTTGTTATAAAAATTAATTTAGTTGTAAAAATTCTGATAATTGAAAAATATATAAAGAGCCTTGTAAGGAGTCTAAGAAAGCAATATGAGATGCCAAGATTTTAGTTTTTAATAATTTATATAATATATTAAATACTAAAGAGGGCGAAAGTATGTGTATAAATTAGTCAAACATAAATATAAGAGTAGTAATGATTTAGTTTAAGCGGTGTATTAAAGATGAAGAACAAAAAGTGCTTTTATTAGAAGATGATATTCAACAAAGGTTAATGAGATGTTTTTATAAACTCTTCAATGAAGATTATGAGAATGCGATTGGCTTTAGTGACCTTAGCACCCTAAATGAAAATAAAGATTTTTATTTTTATCGGTGTATTAGTAAAACCAAAGTTAGAGAGGTTTTTTAAAAAATGAAGTTTGGAAAAGCTGTTGGACCTGATGATATTCCAATAGTGGTGCGGAAATGCTTAGGAGATGTAGGAATTTCTTTGCTTACTAACTTTTATTTTGAAGACTAAAAAGATGTCATATGAGTAGAGAATGAGTGTGTTGATTTTTATTTTTAAGAATATAGGCTATTCACAAGATTGTGTGAATTATAAAGGAATTAAGTTAATGTGTCATACTTTAAAACTATCGGAGAGAGTTATGGAGCATAGGTTGCGGCGAGATACTAATGTTTCTCAAAATCAATTTGGATTTATGCTGTGTAGGTCTACTATGGAAGCTATATATTTATTGAGAAGTTTGATGGAGAAGTATAGAGAGAACAAGGTGGATCTACATGTGATATTTATTGATTTAGATAAAGCATATGATAAAGTTCCAAGAGAAGTGCTATGGAGAGTTCTAGAAAAAAAATGTGTTAATAATACTTATATTCAAGTCATTAAGGATATATATATGCATGAGCTGTTACTTGTGTTCAAACACAAGGTGGTTTGACCAAGTATTTTCCTATTTCAGTTGGATTACATCAAGGATCGGCCTTAAGCCCACATCGTTTTGCTTTAGTCATGGATGTTATCACTAGACATTTGCAAGAGGTTGTACTCTAGTGTATACTTTATGCTGATGATATTCTTCTTTTTTATAAGACTAGAAAGGGAGTTGAAGGTAAACTTGAATTATGGAGCTCAACCTTAGAGTCTAAAGGATTTCGTTTGGGTAGATCTAAAACGGAATATATAGTGTAATTTTAGTAATAATAGTTTTTGTGAGGGAGATTGTGACTTTGGGTGATCAAGTCATTAATGAGAGTACACGTTTTAGATATCTTGGAGCTATTGTTCAGAGTGATGGTGAAATAGATGGAGATATCATTAGTAGAATTCAAGTTGGATGGTTGAAGTGGAGGAATGCATCGGGCTTGTTGTGTGATAGAAAAGTTCCCCTCAAACTTAAGAGAAAATTCTATAAGATGATGGTTAGATCTGCAATGATTTATGATGCAGAATGTTGGCCATTAAAAGAAAAACATAATATTAAGTTAAGTGTTGCAGAGATGAGGATGCTCAGGTGGATGAGTGGCTTTACTCTTAGAGATAGGATACAAAATGAACATATACGTGAATAAGTTGAAGTAGCTCTAGTGGAATATAAGATTAGAGCGAGTCGCCTTATATGATTTGGTCACATAAAACGGAGGCCTTCCGATAACTCTATTAGGAAAGTAGATGTATTAGATTTGACTTATGTTAAGAAAGGTTGAGGTAGACCTAAAAAGACTTGATTAGAAAATTTTAAAAAAATATTTTTTTAATATTTATTGCAACTAAAAAAATATTTTATTATTTAATTTATTTAAACTGGCTCGCAAGCCGATGAGCTGAGTTTAATTAAATTTGAATGTGAGCTCGTTTAATATCGAACTCGAGCTTGTGGCTCAATAAGCTCGTTAGCGAGTCGAGTTCGAGCCGGCTCAGCTCATTTACACCCCTACCTTACATTGCTAGATCTTTACTAATGTTTTGCTAGCATTTATCAAATTTACATGCTATGTCAAAAGCACATTTGATAATGGATATGCAAGCAAATAGTTGTCCTATATTGACAATGCCTCTCATAGAGGGCTTGACAACTGAAAAGATTCCTTGCTTCCCACTACTCCCCCATGAGAGAATTCACCCTCTCTTCTATTCTCTTCTGATGTGGATCCATTTTGTAATTAGTTTAGTAGTTAATAATTGAGCAATCAGGAGGATTTATTAGCTCAAGGCATTGTATTATATAAATATTCCATTTGAGGAGATGATATGAAGAAAAATGAAAGAATTTCCCTTCTAGCATCTAATTTCTTTTTTATTGTCTTTTGGGAGCTTGAGCATGCCCAAATTGCTCTTTTATGATTGAGTTCCTAACTATGATGTTTTCGTCAAGAGAGCACCATTAACTACTCCTAATTAATATATTGTTAACTGCTCCCCATTATCACTTCCATATATTCTTTCCATGTTATGACTATTTCATCACACAGTTGTTCAGAACTGTAATGCGTATTTTTTTTTTATTGGAGAGTAAATTGACATAGCCATACTTTTTTTGTTGACCTCCCAACTCTAAATTCTATGCAAGTTTGGATCATATTTTATTTTTTTCCTTCATGACTCTTGGTACCTTACGTTGAAGTGTTAGTTCGATCTAAAATCAGGTCACATATCTCGCCCTTGCCATTTTTTTAAGAAAACCAGCACATATTTACTCTTAAAACGTGATGCTACCTTAGCATCCCATATTCTACTTTTTTCTGGTCGTAAATTATTTTCATGTTCTTTTTACATAAAACAACAACATTATAGGATAGGCTAAAGCTCGTTGGAAGATTGCTACTGTGCTAGAAGATGTGGTTATTAGCTGCTTCTGGTCAAAGTGCTTTCTGTTAAACTTGTGGCCTTAATTTTAATGCAGATTCTGTGTATGTATTTTTGGTTAAATTTGATGACTTTACATATCGAGGATATACCTACAATATTTGGAAGAAACTTGGTGCCTATAAAATTTGTGTTATTACAGTTTTCCACACTGTTTCTGTAAACTTGCTACTGATGGTCGCAAACTTTCAAAAATACAGAAAATTGATCCTGGTATTCCTGTACAATTACTAGAGTATGACAAGCGCTTCGAACAATATGGTAGTGATTATATATTCTACGACTACAACCTTCCAAAAGAATTGCCGCCAGAATCTGAACAGGCCTACAAAATTATTGTTGCAGACCCTCCTTATTTGGTATGTATATTGATTGTAAATAAAAAATATCGCTAGTTTAACTGAGTTACATCTGGCATAAGAATTCACCACCTGAATCGTATCAATTGGCTAACCATGTTTGGACAAAATTGTTTTTGGGTCTATGGTTTAGTGATACTTCAAGGCATAAATGCTTGCTTTCTCAGAGTTCTTGAGGATTTGTGTTGGTCCAAAGTTTTAACTTTCTCAAAGCTGTACTGGGACCCAAGTACAAAGGACATTTGAAACAACAGATTATCTTATGACATTTTTAATGACAATCAAGCAGAAATTTAATGTGTAATTCCTCGATTCTTTTGTTGCATAGAGCAAGGAGTGCTTGGAGAAAGTAGCGCACACAATTTCCTATTTGTCTCAGAGGGAAGAGCTTTATTTGTTGCTTCTAACAGGTAAATTTTCTTTACATCCTTCTTGGCGCATGTACTTTCTGTGGTTTCTGTATAGTTCTAAATTATTTCACAGATACAACTTTTTGTCATTAGATTTTAAGAGTTATCTTTTCCTTAAAATATGCACTTCAATTTTGGTCACGCGAAGCTTACTCCTAAACTCAACTTCATTGTTAGGTAGCTAAATTATGTCATCTTGATTTTCACAGATAAAAACACAAGCAACTTCATAGGTTAGATACTTCCATGTGACTTCTCTTTGCAAAGTTGGGGATTGCTAAATGTCCTGTTGTTGCCAAACCCTGCGCACAAATATGCACCCATTCGCCCGAAGTTTCATTAATCTTGTTTGAAGTGAAACCTAAAAAGCATTTAAGATTGTCTTCCATATCAATCAGGCCAGATCTTTATATAACTGAGGCGGGGAAAATGAACTCCTCTCAAAATCAAAATTTAAAATGTTTCAATTTGACAAAATCTTTTTAAGCCGCCTTCTTTTGCTTTATTTAAATTTATTTTTCAATTTCTATTTGGGTTGTAGTTCACTACTTTTCTATACTCCATTGCACATTATTTGTCCCCGTGTCGCACAACTGCAAAATTATTATTTGGAATATCTGCATAGTTTAACCAAGTATGTACATTTGCCTAAAATAATATATATCACAATGTTTTTGTCATCATGTTCATTAGCTTTATCCCAATAGTTTTACAAATCTTCATTCTCCATTCTTCCCTGTGATTGTTTCGTGATGTGTTCAAACTTGTTTTTGCACGTTTTTTTTTTCAAAACTCATATTCAAGTTATCTACAATTTTTAACATTTTTTAAATCATTTAACATGAATTTTATTTTCTCATCTTATTGGTGCATTTTCTACCATTTATCATGTATGTCCAAATCATCTTAGTTTATTTTTTACCATCATATCTTTAATAGATATTACTCTTATCATCACCTCCAATATAATAATTTCTTAATCTATCATATTAATTTAACCATAGTCATCTTAACTTTCTCATTTTTTTGTTGTTCAACTTATCTATCAATGCTTCTTGCTGTCCAACACTCATATCAATACAACATAGTTGACCTATTTGAAGTTTAATAAAATTTACCTTCAAGTAGGTATGATATTCTCTTATTATATAATAGTCCCGATTAGCTTCATTATTTTAATCATTTAACTTAAACTTTAAAAGTTATATTCCCATTTATATAATCATTATTTTCTATAATTATTGTGTTGGAAAATTCACGATGATAAAGATTGTGAATTATGTTTTGGCTTGCACGAAGATCATGTACATGCAGATAAAGAGATACAAAGTTATACATATCCAAATGACTGATTTTTACATGAAAAATTCAAAGACGAAAATTTTGGAAAAGCCTTGCCCAATGTGAGAACTGGTAGGCTAGAATTGAGATTACAATGGTTTGTCCATCAGCCTCTTCACCACAATTGTTGGCAGTAATAGAAAACCATGATGTCGAAGAAGGACAGTGATCATTGGTCGAAGATGTTGATGACTGGAGGTAGTTGGTGTATGTTGTGGGACACGAACAAGCGGTTTGGGGAGTTATACAACCTTAACTGGGGGCATTTATTGACTACATATCTTGAACAATGTTGGTTGTTGGACGTCTGTTATTGTGGGATTTTGGGTGTTGACAAATGTTGATTAAATGGTAGTGGACGTTAGGAGTTGGATATTATTTGACTGTTGACATCTTGCAACATTGTTTGGTGGATATTTTGACAAGGTTGATAAGGGATGATGAACATCAATGTTAAAAGGGTTTTGACAAGAGTACGAATTCAGACATCAACAAACGTTGAGCTGTGAACATTGATGGACATTGGGTGGTGTTGGTTGATGAACATATGATGTTGGTGAAGGGAGACTATAGGCATTAGGAGGCAATAAGCTCGGTTGTTCTCCTTATAGGGGTTTAGGCGGCCTAGCAGATGAACATTGAATGCTTATTATTAGTGTGTATTATGCGATGATTGGCAGGGAATGTTGGCATTGATTTACAGTTGGCGTTAATCTATTGTTGGCATTGATTATCAACCATCCAATATCCGTGAAAGTTGATAGGGGGCATCGAGAAGCAATTAGCTTGATTATTCTCTTTGCTAGAAAGGAGATGGGGCTACATGGTAAGAATACATCAATTGTTGGCAGTTGGCAGACGCTCGACATCTATTGTTTATGGACAATGAATATTGACGAATGTCTAAATTTAGACTTCGATGAATATTAAGACTTGGATGTCAATTGGTGGATGTCATTGTCAGTTGATGCCCAACATCGAGGGGTAGGAGATGGTTGACATTAATTTTGATCGATGACTGGCATAAATGTCAACCGAGGGCCAACTTAGGGTGGTAGATGATAGTAGGTGTCGATGTAGATTGAAGTCAGCATTGGGTTACAGGATTTGGATTGACTGCAGACATCGAGCGACATAGAGCGAGGGATGTTTGGTGGATTTGGGAGCGCCTTGGTATGTCAAGTTGCTATAGAAGTAGTTAAGAAATCTATAATTCTCTATAACACTTGAGTGCTTCCAAATTCAGAATGTGTAAACTAATGAGAACTAAGGCCTATTATTTAGATTTTGAGGGGGATAATACAATCCTTATCTAGAATTATCCTGTAAATTTTTTTGTTATCATTAACAACATATGCATCATATCTCATCTTGACTAATAAAAAAAAGAGATGATCCCCCGCCCATTATGTGGCCCAATTGGCCCTTCAGAATCTTTGCATGGTCTGGCGAACAATTGGTGGTTGACGATGTTGGTGTAGAAGTGGTTGATGGTGACTAAGTCTTCAATTGATGAACAAAAGGTATCATCTTGAATTTCTCAATCCCATGAGGGCATTTGAATTCATGGATAAAAAATTTGATGATTGGATTGTCCAGAATAGACCTTGGAGCATAGGCCATATTTTATATTCACAAGACAATGATGGTTCAACATAGCTAATTTTGATATAGATTTTATCGTCTTGATGAGAGGAAAACAAAATTGTTGATGGTTCCCCATAGTAACGATAATTTTAAGGTGTAGGGATTAAATTTAAAGCCAAAGGAAAACAATCTTGAGACCACCTATTTTATGGAGAAATGTTCTCATTACCGAGACCAATCTTGAGCATTAAATAACTCCATTGGATTAATTATTTTGTAGATAGTCTTGGCCACCCAGTAGGTCGAAATAGCAAGCAATGATGACGACCACCAAGAGCACCACACGAGGGTGTCACATTGTAAGTCATGGCATAATGAAAGGAGATAGAGATATGTGACCTGCTTGACAAATTTTTCTTTTTTCTTACTATTTTGGTGCCCAAATGAATTGAATTCATACGGTCATGGAATTTTTTGAATTGTTTCCATAAGATGATCTTGTTGAAGATAAGTATACAATGCGGAGTTTGCTTGATCCTTCAAATAATATTTGAAAGTTTTTTATCATACTTTTAGGCTAACATTATAAGGTCGGTTAGACTCGAATTTTGATAATTTTGGCTTTGTTGGATTTGTTTGTTTAATCATAAATTTGTTAAATTAAGTATCAATAACTTTGAAATAATTTCAAAGTTTTCAAATTTAAATTTGATTAATTTTTGGATTAAAAAAATGTATAGAAACTTTTGCTAGATTTGATTGATTTTATGATTCATATCATTTGCCCTCTATTTTCTAACTATGATCTCTACAAATTTAATAAAAAAAATAGTATATGCCCTAAAAAATTTGCCACCTAACTTCAATGCCATTTGTATGTTTCTTGGTGTAAAAATTCTTCAAATTTTTTGTTTGAATTCTTCAAAACTCATCAAATTATCCCCAAAGATCCATTTGGTTTCAAATAATGCCAAAATCAAATCCAAAATATTGAAATATGATTTTAGACACTACAAAAACATCAGGAAGGGCTTCAAGAAGGCCCCAAACAACTAAAAATGATTTTAGGTGGCCAATTCGACATAAAATTTAAATTTTGATAATAATATATATATATTATATATATATATACTTTTTTTTTCTTTCCTCTGTGACCTTATCAATTTATTTCATTTTTTTAACTTGAAAATTCCCTTGAAATAGGAATTAACAAATTTTTTAGAATAAAAAATTCAGAACAAAAATAGCTAGAAAATTTTTATAAACTCTGGTGCCATATTGTAAGGTGTGTTGGCAACAAGGAGGTGCGCGGCTGCTTCTAGGGCCTTCTGGGCTATATTGTAAGAAGCGTGAGAAGAACTTGAGTAGGCAGGGAATGTTCTCTTCATTTGGATTAATTTAGGTATGACATTAGAATGCAAGTTAATGATGTCGTGGATTGTTTCAAAAGCTTTAGTGTGCTCACGATTTTGTGAAAAGAAGTCACTTGAATTCCAAGCTAAAACTTGTGATGTTCTGGGATGAAGTTTTGAGAATCATGTAAATGGTGCCTCTTTTAACTTCTCAAACAATAGTTAACATTTATCAACATCGCTTATAGTGAGGAGATTGTCGACTTAAATCAAGCAATATGATCGGTTGGACCTAATTTTCTTTTATAAGCTTCAAGAACATGCATTTTGAACTTTGGGGAAGGTTGAGCTTCTGCAATATGAAGAGATCATGCATTGGTTGGCTTGATGGAGTGTTTCTTGGATTGGTGGGGATGAAAAATTTCTTCGTCACTTTATCTTGATGAAGACACTTTAATGGAGCTTAATGAGGGAAGATAAAGTTGATGACGTGCGGAGTTGATAAAATTTTGCTCATTGAGAGTGTGAATAAGAAATCATTTTGTCTAAAGCACTTTGAGATTCTTTGGATTATTTTTTTCGGTAAGTATTTCTTTTTATTATGTTGTTCATAAGTGATAGATTTGTTGATCATTTTGTATTGAATTTTTCTTTTGATCTAAAGTGATCCATTGCTTCACTTAGCATGTTAAACATTGTCCACGCACACCTCACCTAAAAGATTTTGGTCCTAATCCAAGTCTGGGTGGCACTAGAATGTTAATAATGAGCTCGATAGAGAAAGGAGGAGAGAAAAAGAGAGGTAAGAGAGGTAAAAAAAAAAGAGAGAAAAAGAGAGGTAAGAGAGTGAAACTAGGGTCGAGGTGTAATGCTACATTTGATTAATACAAGTAAACTAATATAGCAAGATTTATCCAGTAGTAGTAAAAATGAACAAATCTAATTAGCTTTTAGCTATCAAAATATATAGAGAACTTATAATAAATTCCAAATAAAGGAGCTCAAGGCTCAAGCGATTTGCCTACTTCATTTTAAGTTTACAAGAAGCTTTGGTTGCTTTCTGAATTCATTTGGTTAGTACCATTATGACTTTAAATGATCTTGGTACCAAATACTAACTAGCCATGACGACTTATAGTGAAAGTTTTGTCAAGTATTGAAGGAATGTGCCATTGAACTTTGATTAATGAAACTCATCAGCGAGATCATCATTTTCTTTAGCTACAGTGTTTTTGTGATACGATAGACTAAAATGATTTCTCAGAATTCCTTGCTTGGTTGCCCTATTGCTAACAAACCACCTTGGACTGGATTTATTATTTGGATTTATTATTTTGTGTGGAGTCCGGAGGGCGTCCGGAAACTAATTAAAATGCACCACGTCACCCCATTGTTAGGTATCCAGTTTGATACCCGCGCTCGGTACCGCTGGATGCTTAACCGGACAGTTCTCCCGTCCGGTGTCCTTACAGAATAATAGCTCGACAGACATCTACTTAAATACATGATGCACAATTCTCTGCATTTTTGCAGGAGAGGTGCAAAAGGAAGTTGCAGCCAAGCTCTTAAAGGTGTATCCTTGTGGTTTCCGGCCTCAGCACACCAATAAGCTGGGAAATGAGTTCAGACTCTTCACTAATTATGATCCAGGGCAGAGACTAGGTGGTTGGGAGCAATTAAGGAACTTATGAGTTCAGGTGATCAATATTAGTCACATCTCTACCCTATCTTTTTTTTATTTTTTTATTTTTTTTTTGGGATATTTTGGCCAATTAAGATAGATTCACATACGCAAGACTCAACCCAAGATCTCTTGATTGCCAAGCAAAACTCTCAACCAATAGATCAATTTGAGCTGCGATAGTATCTCCATACTCGTAGATTATTTTCTTATTGTGAAATTATTCTGTGCAGACGTCGAACACCGTTTAGAGACCAATCAGAATATATCACGTCACCCCTGGCCTGCTCGGTATCCGGCTCAGTGCTGCTCGGTACTGCGGCTCAGTACGGAGCTCTGTACTGCTGATGTAACGCATTCTGATTGATCTCCGTGTGATGAACTGTGTTTGAAGTCTGCAAAGAATAATCTCTCCAACTCTTGGGTCTTTGGCAACCTTTGTGATTTTATTCTCATAGTGGTGAGAATTTTGTAAGATTTCCTCTGCAGCAATCAAACATTTATTTATTTGTGTATGTCTCAACATTCCTTTTGTTTTTTTCTTAACAAAGGCATGATAACTTGTTGGCTTGGGATGATTTACCCTAACTTGATAATTACGCACGACGCTCAAAACAATAATTACTTTTAATTGTATATATATATTGCACAAACATTAGGAAATCATTGATATATTAATATATTTATTTACGTTTAATATTCTTATTACAATTATATTAACAAACAAATTAGATTTTTTTTTTTTAATATGTGAGCCATTAAAATAAACTCACACGTACATCATATATATAAATTTTGAACCCAAAGTTTTTTTATTAATAGCCAAAGTCTTCAAGCAAGCACAAATAATAACTTAGAACTTACTGGGCATATATTTTATATACATTAAACTTAAAATTTATTTATTTTCCAATTAATAAATTTAGGACCTATTAATTTGAAAACCAGTTTAAAATTCATCATTCTCACTAATAAAACTGACTCAAATAAAGTTTTACTATCTCAAACTAAATAAATATCGCCCTTAAATATAATCAAAATAATATGAATTGTTTGCTTCATAGTCTCTGAGTTATTGTATATAGATGAATAACATCATAATATAGTTAAAATGCTAACATTCATCATCGAAAATTCATAACATATACAACTCATCTTAGTCTGTTAGTTGAGAGCTTAGGTTGTTCGAATTTTGTATATGTGATGTGTGTGTGAGTTTGTCTTAATTAGCCTTCATGATTGGCATATTTGACATATTTATAAGGAACATGCAAATACAAATGACTAGCAAAGCACAAAAGAATGCATAAAATTATATTAAATAAATGAATAATATAACTGCAAAGTCAGATAATCATGTCCACTAATAAAAAAAAATACAGACTCATAATGCTATTAGTTGATAGCCAGCAACAACGTTTCTCGTCTCTTGCAAGAAAAAAATAGTGAACAACTCTTTAAATACAATAGAATTTATGTAGTATTGCGTCTTCATGCTGAATATTTTATAGCATAAATGGTACTTCAGTTCGCTAGTGATCAACTAAATATTAGAATGAGACTCCAACAAGCCATAGAAAACTTGTTAGGACCAAAAGTAAATATGATTAAGCACTAAGCAAAAGAGATTAAAGCAACAAACAATAACGCTAAGACTTTGTTGGGATAACTTTCTTATTGCTTCTTAAAGTAGTTTTTTTTTTTTTTTTTACAAAAATTTTAATTTTTTATTAAAAATTCATAACGGACACAAATCATCTTAGTCTGTTAGTTGGGAGCTTAGGCTATCAATTAATGAGTTCGTCTTAATTACCCTTCATGATAGGCATATTTATAAGGAACATGCAAATACAAAAATGATTAACAAAGCACAAAAGAATGCATAAAATTATATTAAATAAATGAATAATATAACTACAAATTCAGAATACTGCTTCTTAAAGCAATTTTCTTTTTTTACTAAAAAGCTATTTTAAGAAGCAAAACGAAAGCCATCCGAAACAAAACCTCAAATTTAGGATTTATGTTGGATAATTATTATATTGTTTTCTAAAGCAACTTTTTAATACAAAAAATTCTAATTCAAAAATTTTTAACTAAAAAACAGCTTTAAAAATAGTAACCGTCCCAAATAAAGCCTTAATATTGTTGGGCATAAACAAGCCTACATACCTGAGATAGATTTGAATACCTGATATATTTAAAATCACAGCTTTATATAGCTTCATTAGCAGCACTCATCACAGAACAATAACAATATTGAGTCAAAACACTAAAGCTGACCAAGAACAATTAAGAATTATATATATGATTAGAATCACTAAGAATACAATGTAGGCTTGATCCCATAATTAATTATATTGCCTTCATTCTAAATTGCGTTTACATCACAAAAATAAATACTAAAACAAATGAGTAAGACTGCATACATCAACTTATTTCCTAAACTCCACATGAACCAGAAATCTCATGTGCTGGCTATGCCTTCTTTAACCATAATCTCTTAATGCAGAATCCATAAATGATTGGAAGCCACCACATGAATCCTAATAAGCAAAACCTGGAGGTTCAATGAGTTTGTGGAGGATCAAACTACCAAACTGGCTCAAAAGCCCCATCTCAAATCCAAAAGAAAGCTGTATTCAAAGGACCTTCAATGCCGCACACTTTATGGCCCAAATTTAGGTTTCGTTTGGGACGGCTTTTTTATTGCTTTATAAAGTAGCTTTCAAGTACAAAAATTTTAAATTTTTACAAGAAAGCTGTTTTAAGCAGTAAGAAAGCAGTTCCAAACGAAGTCTCAAATCACAGAAACCATTATGAGTAGCCAAATCTCGCAGGAAAACCATGGTGGTAGCTGCCTGTAGAACCACGAGAGAAAGGAGTTCCTCCCTGATGGTGATAATTATACATCTGATGTGGTGTGCGAGGGCTCGAATAGTTTGAATAGTCAGAATAGCGGCGTCGAGAAGATGACGAGCTAAAGTTGCCAGTCCTTAATGATGGAGTGGCGGGAGATCCCCAATCCTCCATTGTTTTATGTTTCCTTTTAGGCAGGTAACCTGTATCATCAACAATCCAGCCACCCTTTACCTTAGACTTCACAGGTCTCGTGTTCTTATCATAATAAGAACTTCTCTTTCTATGCTCTCTGCCAAAATCTCGAGGCAGGGACTTCGAGACTTTGGCATCTTTTTTAACCTTCAATCGACTAACCATGGTTGGTGATTCCCCAAGGCGCTTTACGGGCTAACAAACAAATATTTGCATGAGTCATAAAACTTAATAAACTGCACTGAAAGCTACAAACAGATAAGGTCAAAATCACCTTGAGCTCTATAGTGCAACCCCTTGCAAAATGCCCTTCTTGACCACATCTGTAGCAAAGAGTAGGTGGGGTAGCAGCAGTACTTTCACCCCGTTGCTTTGCACAGCCCTGAAAGATTTTGTTTAACAAAAGGCTTAGGTTCGTTTGGGATTGTTTTTTTACTGCTTCTTCAAGCAGCTTTTTAATACAAATTTTTTAATTTTTTACTAGAAAGTTATTTTAAAAAGCAAGAAGAAAACCGTCCCAAACGAAGCTTTAATAATAAAGGTTTTTGAGAAATCAAAGACGGCACAATTGATAAACAAGATAAAGTAGCCAGTCAGCTTACTTGGCCACTATGACCAAACTCGGCACAATTGTAACAAGATATTTCAATTGGACCATTGTCCTCGTAATCCACACAGCACAGATGGCCATATTTCTTGCAAATGTAACATTGTATTTCCTGCAAATTCAAAGTAGACAAATATATCTTATGGACAAATTTCACCTCTAAAGCTCTAATCATTAACGTTACACTTTTAAAAAGCATGTGATGCAGATTTCGGCATTCTTGATGTAGGCATTTGTGCTTGACCCAAACATGAAGACATGAAATGAAGTGTCAAAAGGGTTCTTAAGACAACATTAACCTTCATATCAGTAGATGCATAATTTTTTCTACAGGATGCCATATCATGTCCTAGATCTCCACAGCGTAAGCATATTATAGATTCTTCAGAATTGTTTTTGTGCTTATCTGGACAGTCCTTTGCATGATGGCCTCTTCTTTTGCATGCAAAGCAGTCTAGTCCCTGCAAAAAGATCAAATAACATATCAATTCCAGCACACTCACAAACAACTTTCGCCAAAGAGAGATGCAATAACAATAACAACAATAAGCCTTTATCCCACTACGTGAGGTCGCACTACATGAATCATTTTCTCCATTGTATCATATTAAGAGTCAATTTCTCATTTAAATCTGATAAAATTGATCATTTTAATACTTTCTACCAAGACTTTTAGGTCTTTCTTAGCATGTGCCAAATTTAATATATCTACTCTCATAACAGGTTCATCAGAAGGTTGACATTTTAGGTGACCAAATCATCTAAGGCAAGACTCTCTCTAATCTTATTTGCCACTTAAACTACTCCAACCTTTTCACATATATACTAATTTCACATTTTGTCTCTAAGTGTAAAGGTAGTCATCCAAAATGAGCATTCCCATCTTTGCAAAACTTAATCCACCATCTTATAAAAGTTTCCCTTAAGTTTGAGGGGTACTTTCTATCACACAATAGGCCAATGCATTCCTCCACTTCAACCACCAACTTAAATTCTACTAATAATATCCCCATTTATTTAACTATCGCTTTGAACAATAGACCCAAGAGATCTAAAACGTGCACTCTTTTTAATGACTTAATCACCCAGTATCACAATTCCGTCATTATATATAGTACTACTAAAATCACAGTCCATGTATTCAATTTTAGATATACTCATATAAAAACCTTTGAACTCTAAGGTTGACCTCCGTAATTCAAGTTTTTCATCAACTCCCTATTTAATATTATCAACAAGAAGAATATCAGCAACAAAAAGCATACACCAAGGTACATCCTCTTGCAATTGTCTAATAAAAACATCCATGATTAAAGCAAAATGATATAGGCTTAAAGCTGATCCTGGACATATAATCCAAATGAAATAGAAAAATAATTGATCAAACCACTTTGTGTTTGAATAGAAGTAACAAGTCTTGCATACATATCCTTAATGACTTGTAAGCATTATTAACAGCTTCCTTTTCCAGAACTCTTCAAATAAATCACTTCTCTCAAAATTTTATCATATGCTTTCTCTAAATCAATAAATGTCACATGTAGATCCTCCTTACTCTCTCTATACTTCTCCAACAAATATATAACTTCCATAATAAACCTACCCAATATGAATCTAAATTGATTTTGAAAAATCTTAATATCACATCGTAACCTATGCTCAATTACTCTCTACCATAATTTTAATGTATGACACAAAAACTTAATTCTTCTATAATTTGCACTCTTGTGCATCATCTTTACTACAACATGCTCCTCCACTTACCTCACATCTTTTGTCTTCAAAATAATATATAAATTTTTAATAAGCCAAAAAATTCATTGACCGCCTAACCATTTCAATACTTAGATTAGAATATTACCAAGTCCTACTACTTTACCATATTTCATTTTTTAAAGCATCTTCAACTTTGATTTTACTAATACGATGATAAAAATAAAAATCTCTATTATCATTAGGGTGCCAAAGTCACTAAGGTCAATCATATTCTCACAATCTTTATTGAAAAATTTAACAAAAAATCTCACCCACTTAAGTTGAACATCCTCTTTTAAGAAAAGCAACATTTTGATCTACATCCTTAATGCACTTCACTTGAACTAAATATTTACTTCTCCATTTTTTTTTGTTTGGCTAACTTATATGTACATCTTTAGTCCTCCTTAGCATCTAATCAATCATATAAATCATAAAAAACTAAACTCTTTGCATCACATATTACTTTCTTAGAATACTACTAGCCCCTCTATATATTTTCTAATTTTTTGAGCTTTTACATCTAAACCATTTTTTATAACAAAGTTCCTTATTTTGATATTTTCTTGCACATTTTTATTACACCAGCTATTTTTGCTATTAAGAGCTTTTCATTTTGATTATTCAAGTACACATTTTGTAATACTTTTAATATCACTAGCTCATTTTACTCGCATAACATTAACTTTATCATTCTTATAAATGATAAGTTCCTCTCTGTTCATAAATAAAGTATTAATAATAATAAAATCATAAGCTAGAGCAAAATCTAATAATCAATATGAATTTACTAAGTCTATTCTTATAAATGATTAAATGCTCCTTTCTTCATTAATAAAGTATTGATAATTACAAAATCATAAGCTAAAACAAATCTAATATGATCCTACCACCTACATTAGTCGCTCCAAACTAATAGCTGCCATAAATTTTTTTAAATTTTCTACCACTTTACCAACATGTTTATTTAAATCTCTTCCAATAAAAAATTGTTCTTTAAAAGGTATTTGTTGTGTTAAGTTTTCTAAATTGTTTCAAAATTTTATTTTTGAACACACATACAAACCTACTTGAGGAGCATATGCTTTTATAACATTAATAATTTAGCATCGACAATAATCTTTAAATCTATAATTTTATATTCAATTCTTATTAATTTTTACAACATTATCCTTCAAACTCTTCTTTATAATCATGCATATATCATTTCTAGTTTGATTCCTATATGAAAACCAAAGCTTAAAGCCTAAACTATCAATCTCCTTATCATTTCCCCCAATCCATTTAGTTTCCTAAATACAAAGAATGTTTATTGTCTTAATAACTATAATATATGTTAATTTTATTAATTTATCTATCAGAGTACATATATTCCAAGTTTCTATCCTAATTCTAATTACATGAACTAGCTTCTCTGCCCACATCCGTCCATGATGTGGGAACCTTTGCTTATTTAAAATTGTACCAGGGCACTGATGTAGCGACTCTTGTAGACTTTTCACTGTATTCTGACCACACAATGCATCGCTTCCAGGGAACGCCCTGACATTAACATAATTTATTAAATGATTCATGTCATAATTGTTAGACAAGCTTTACGCTAGTCTAGCATTAACATATTGTATTAAATGATTCATGTCATGGTCGTTCAATAAGTTATACGATGGTGACTATCTAACGCAACCCTCTATTTTTCTCATCCAAAGCTTGAGACCTAGCAACACAAGTGTTTCTCCAAAGAGAGATGGCAAACAAAAAGTAAAGCAGAAATAAATAAGGTTCATTTATGCTAGACCAATGTCTACTGGAAGAGAGGAAAAAGGATGCATATTGCTCCATAATAGGAATTCCATAGTACTATCAGTAAATAGAAACAAAGCATTATTTACTCAGTTTTCAATCTTTCTTTTAAAGAACAGTATGAAGGGATCTAAATATATGCATAACCTGTACACTGTATACAATCTGAAATTCAAGAAAGCTGATGTTATGAGCAACCTAGAAGAATAAAGCATCTCTCAGGCTAGGTTTTTGTTCAACACTTATTCTGTCTAATTATGGCTAATGCACCGCAGCAAAACTAATATCAAAGATAGATTAAATTATGCATTCAGATGCTCATGTCTTAAGTATGTTATAATTGACATTTGATAAAGAGGAACTATATGATAAAAATAAATTTGATGCAATTGCAACAAGGAAAGCCAGGAAAATTACACGGCCCTTCAATAAGCAGCTGCAAAACTCTCATATACCCTAGGTGAAGTAAGAAGCAAGCATAAATCTCTACAAAAAAAGGAAGAGCCATCTTCTTTCTGAAAAGACTAGTGTGACTTGAATGAATGATTATGTGTGCATAAATTTTCAACATAAGTTCATGCAAATATAAACATAACAATATGATAGACATTAGAGGACATATCAAGGATCCTAAACTAGAAACAAAACCATTAAAAAAGATTGTGGCACTACAAACATATGTCACAAATTTTGTAATATTAAGGATGGAAAACGAGCAAAATTAATATAACTTTACATATAGCATTAGTAAAAAAAATATAAGAAAATGAACATAGCAATGAGCACGAGAAATCTTACTGGTAAAGTGTTTTATGATAATTGAAAAGTAGTCTTATTCTAGAGTTTGATAAGGGAAAAATAAACATTTGATTTCAATCTAAAATGCATGAAATTAAGATTGTTGTACCACATTATCATGATCATCATTTCAAAAACTGTAACTGCAGCCTACAGATTCCAATAAATTTAGCTCTCGGTTCATTTCAACTCAATGATTAAAATAAAAGACTCATGATTTTTATTTTAGATGCTTAAAAACTCAAGAACATAGTGAACGAAGATAAATCTAAAAAATGCTTATGTAGCATAGGGAAAGCACCTCCCTCCCTCCCTCCCTCACTATCTATTGATTATATCTCTATTATTATATTCATTGAATCTCATGATTTCCATTTTAGAAGCTGACAAACCTATGTATATTGTAAAAGAAGATGAAAAGAAAAAAATAAAAGAATTATATACCTAAAACAAAAGCCCGATCTCCCACCCTCCCTATTATCTAGAACTCTGTTCATCTATTACAGAAATAAACTCACAAAATAATTATAAGACAGTTGAACACAATCAAAAGTCATGAAAAAGGCTAGTAAATAAACAAACATATAATTCAATTCTCATCAATCTCTGGCTTAAATAAAAGGTATGAAAATTAGAGAAAAACAATATACTGTGAACCTAACCCTCATTAGAAACTAAGAGATTAAGAGGGTTGGCGTTAAACTACTATGTAATGAAAACTAAGCCCAACCTCAAATTGACCAGACTAAACTTCAGAGCCAAACAACAAGCTAAAGAGAACCTTATGGGGCTGTTTGGTAGCAGGATTTAGGCCGGATTTGAGGCGAATTTGAGCGAAATCCAGCCAAACGGCCTAAAATGCAAAACCAAATCTCACGGCAAGTGAAATCCGGGATTGACGGAAAATTCCGCCGATTCGAGCGAAATCCGGGATTTCGGAAATCCTATATTTTGCGGGATTTAGGAAATCCAGGCGCTAGAGTAAGAGTCCTTGTATAAATCCTGCTTTATAGCCAAACAGTCACACAGGATTTAACTAGATTTATCATAAATGTTACCAAACAGTTTTCAGGATTTAACCCCTCAGGATTTCGTAAATCCAGGATTTGAAGGATTTACGAAATCCTACTTAAATGAAATCCTACATTCTACCAAACAGCCCCTATATCTGTTCCCTAAAAGTTAATAAACAAATTACACTATTACCTGCAAGCACTCCTTAGAATTGTGCCCGAACATCCCACACACAAAACATGGCTTCTGACGCCTCTCCGCCTTGCAGTTTGCAGCTATATGACCTTCCTCGCCGCAGTTGTAGCAAGTCTCGCAATTGCCATCGCCCGGGTCAAAGTATCTTGGGCCACGCTAAGACATAGAAGACAAATTGTAGTGGACAGAACAAATATCTTGTAGTAAAGAAAAGTACTTCACAGAACATTCAATTTAAACCAAGAGAGAAACTCTCACCAGAAGTTTTCTCAAAACTAGGTTGTTAGATTCTTCATTGCCAACTTGCATCACAGAATTAGAAGATCCAGCTGGTTTCTCTTCCTCAGCTGGAGCGTCAGGCCGTTCCTACAATCAAATGCCCCGCTCTTCACACATTCCAGAATACACAAATTTAAGATGGACATTGGACACCATAATTAATACCCAATTCATTAGGAAAGGCTATTCCTGTTTCTGGTATTAATGAAACAATCATAGATTAAAACTTGCACTAAGCATATTATACAGAAAAAAAAAATCCTTTAACCCCCAACAATAATAAAGATTAAGCAAAAAACTTTTTTTTGGCGAGTGAAGCAAGAACCTACCATTACAATCAGTTCTTCAACTTCCTTCTTCTTCCTCTTCTTCGGCCTGCTTTTCCGCTTCTTCTTCACTTCTTCTTCCGCCCCCGCCAAAACCCCCTCCCTTCCTCCTGCGGCTTTCCCATTAGGAGTAGCCTTAATTTCATCGGCCGATGACGTAGAAAGATCTATGAAAAAGTCCCGACCTTTCTCTTTATCATTGGCCCTCTTCCGCTTGGCCTCGCGTAGCTGAGCTTTAGCGACAACCGCCAAGCTAAGGTCTTCGTTCGCCTCATCATCGTCGCTACTTAACAAGATCACCGCCTCGCCAGCGCCGTCCTCAACCCCCGTCTCGCTCTCTTGCTCTCTAGATCTCCACCACCGGCCCATCTCGGAATTTGTGAGAGAAATCGATGACCGACCCCGCCCAACGCACGATGTCGACCGAAGCGCTGCTAAGGAAACCCTAGATGCTATACCGTCTGAAAGGATCGCGTACTGTTCTAAAAGAGAAAAAAAAAAAAAAAAAAAGATTATTATTATGTTAGAAACTTAGAATAGTTTTGTCACTTTTGTGTACCATTCAATTTTTTTTAATTTGTTTTAATTAGTTTAATATATAGAATTTATTCTAAATTTGCAATATATTTATTCTAAAATAAATCTAAGGGTTATTTGATGCTTGATTTATAAATGATTTTGGTATAAATCCTACCAAATGATATTTTTGACAACTTCAAATTTGAAGGTGGTAGATTCCTAATTTATTAAATTTTGAATTTTGACGTGTTTAGAAGATTTAGGAATAAAATCATGCATGATTAGAGGGGGAATAAATATGAGATAACCTTCACTAGCGAGCTTCCATTGCGCCTTCATCATTTCATTTTCGTCAACAACTTCAAGTACGAGAATAAGGGAGTATGAGGAAGAAAGATAGGGGTTTAACTTGTCGCAGCTTTCTCATTGCTTCAGAAAATTTATTATGTGCAGACACCGGATGGTCTCCATAGACTAATTAGAACACGTCATGTCATTTATTTGCTCGGTACAGCTCGGTAGTGAAGCTTGGTGCCACTCGGTACCGGGTGAGATGACGCGTTCTGGTTGATTTATGGACCGTCTAGTGTCCTCACATAATAATTTCTCCATTGCTTCGCCGTCAGAGGTTTAAAAATTTTGGGTTGGAGAGAAATAGGGGAAAGAGATGAATTTTGGATATTAGATATGTTGTTATAAGTTTATAATTTAGCTAAATTTAAATAAGAAGTATTAATTAATTTAAGATTAGATAAAATTAATTTTATCTAATAGTTATATAAACTATTAATTAATGATTAATTGATACATCATTTTATACTATTATGATTAGGGGTGTAAGTGAGCCGAGCCGGCTCGAGCTCGACTGGTTTATAGGCTCGCAAGCCGAGCTTATTGAGCTAACGAGTTGAGCTCGAGCTCATTTAGTAAACGAGTTCTAGTTCGAGCTTGACGAAGTTCGGCTCGTGAGCTCGCGAGCTGGCTCGAACTACTGTTTAATTTTTTAAAAAATCAAATATTCTAAAAAAAATAAACCAAATATTCAGCAACAGCTTATTAAAAATATTTTAAAAATCAATTTCAATAAATGCTAATAAATGAAAAACATCTTTTCAATTATAAAATAATAAAACTTTTTTTCAAAAAATATATATATTTAATCTAAAAGCTGCTGAAGAAAATCAGCCTTTTTCTTTTCTAATAAATGCTAAAGGCATTGCTCACGCCAAGTCTTCTACTCCACCTGTTTGAAACGGGCGGATTTCTCAAAAAAAAAAAAGGCGGTAAGATCAAAAGCAGGCTGCAATGTTACGAACGAAAATGAGTAGCTCAATATAGTGTTGCGAGTCGTGCTCGAGCTCGAGTTCGAGTTGGGTATTCGACTTGCGAGTCGAGCTCAAACACCCCCTGACTTGAGCTCGACTCGACTCGTTTACACCCCTAATTAATTTTTTTAATTTAATATGATAAAAACTTTATTAATATGCAATCAAATAAATCAGATATGAATATATTGATTAAAAACTTAAAATCATTTTTAATAAACAATATTACTAAACTAAAAAGATATTAATGCAAGAAAAATTTTGGGAAATGCCCCAAATTTTTGTATTTCCCAATTTTTTGCGAGCAAAAACAAAGCTTTCATAGGTAATAGAAATTACATGAAATTTCTCAAAAACATCTTTTATATCATATAAAGACACTTACAACAAATGACGCTTACAAACTTATAAAAATAAAACAACACATACGACTTCCTAAAATTGTATTTCTTCCATTGCTTTGAGAAGAAGGATACATGTAGGGTGGTCAGTTGCGGCGAGAAGAAGGAGGTTAGAAGTCCGAGACGAAGGATAGGAGGACAAGCTCTCAAGCTTTCCCATGAAGGAGAGGAAGAAGAAGTGGAACAAGCTCGCAAGCTTTTTCAACAAAACCCTCAGGTTTACATCTCCAAAAATAACTCACATAACATCCTTTTTTAACAAAACAACACCACATATTTATAGGAGAGAAAAGGGAGACAAACAACCACTTGAAACTAATAAAAAGAGGAAAATAAAAGGCCAAGAAGACATTCCAAACAGCAGCTGAAAAGGCACCCAAAATATCAGCCAAATTCATCCCAATCTAGCTTACAAGGGGAGGAACCAGCAGAAACTGAGGAGGCCAGGAATAAGGGGGCGGAACCCCAACAGCCTTTTCACTGGAACAACAACAACCATGGGAAAACCGAGAAGACCAAGGGAAAGTCAGGGGAACAGTAACAGCCAAGGACCCAAATCGAGAACAGCAAGCAGCCCAAGGCCCCAAATCGAGAACAACAAGCAGTCCAAGGCCAAGAAGAATTTCAAGATGATTTGACCCCCCCCCTGTCTACATCAAATTCTCCTCTTGTTGAAAGAATTCATCTCCTGATGAAGCTTGAGTTTGCTTTGAATCTTGTACTGAGGTTTCCGAAGGTTGATTGCATGGACTATGACTCATGACTCAAAAAACAAAACTCATATGACACCAAGACTCATACAACAACTTGACTCAATGACCTAGGATATACCAACTTGCTCTGATACCAAATTGATACAAGCAAAAATTTGGAAAAAACCCCAAATTTTTGCGAGCAAATGAAAAAGCTTCCTAGAAAATAGAAAATGCACCAAAGAACACAAAATAGACAAAATAAGAAACAATACAACTTTTTATAATAAAAAACTCTTACAAACTTTGACACAAAATCAAAACACCTAAATGAGCTCTTCTTTGCTTGATTGAGAAGAAGGATACAAGCGGAGTTGATCTTACGGGGAGAAGAATGAGATTAGAAGGCGAGACGAAGGAGGAGATGCTCGCAAGCTTTCCTAAAGAGAGAGGAAGGGATGGAACAAGCTCACAAGCTTTTCCAACAAATAAACCCGCATGTTTAGGCTCCAAAAATCACATTATAACTCTCTTCTAAAAACTCTAAAACAGCTACAAATATCTCCTATATATAGGTAAAGAAAGGGAAGCCAAACAGCCACCATACTACTAATTAATCCCATTAAATCATAGAAATGAAAGGCCAAAAGACACCACAACAGCAGCTGAAAAACCACCCAAAAATTAGGCCAAATACATCCACAAACAGCCCCCCCCCCCCCCCCCCCCCCCACCCCCCCCCCAAAGCCCCCCCAAATCTGCACATAAAACAGCAAGGAAAGCCACGGGAAGCATAGCCATTTAAGAGGAAGAAGAATGCCAAAAGACACCACAAACAACCCACAAAAATTGCACATAAAACAAGGCAAAACAGCACCCAAAATCTGCACAGGAAACAGCTAGAAAAAGCCACGGGAAACCCAGCCAGCAAGCCACGGGAAAGCAGCCAAAGAGCGACCCGAAGAGCCAACACAGGAAACAGGGCAGGGAATTAAATTGCATTATTTAGGTGCATTTCTCTAAATAATGAAATAACATGAATATTTGACCAATTGTGTGTATTATGAAACATAAGATAAACTTTTTCTATTCTTGTACACCAATTGAACAAGCTTATTAACAAATATTATTTTAAAACTCTAGATAAGCCAATATCGATTAAGCAATTTGTTGTGTTCCAAGGTTGACTTGACTAAATTTCACACAAATTTGTCAAAACATCTTAACGGGTCCAAGTATGTCAATTTGAGTCAAATGAACCAATTGGTCTAGTCAAATGCTAATTGAGCTTTTTTCCTATGGTAAACATATAGTCACTAGTTTTAGGCCCTATGTTCAATCATTTTGATCAATTTGATGGTTTAGGTATTATTAGGCCAAATAGATTCATTTGGGCTAACTTAGGGTCAAAGGTCCAACAATGCTATTCCAAAGCATACTAGGCTCAAATAAATCATTTTTAACATATTTGGACTTATTGGGATGGATTCTTATAGCAAAAGCATTTAATGGAGTCAAAGGGTTTAATGGATTTCAGGTCAGGGTTATCTATAACTCAAACCTAGGATCACAATCCAAATTAGAGGGTCTAATTATCAATTATACTTAAATCCATTATAGTTGAACCACTAAGGAAAGATGATTGAATGTTTAGACCATCAACTAGGCCTATTATATCCTATCTTGTTTAAGTTTGAGATGTTAAGGTAACGGACATATTCTAGTGTCCGGAACCTTCCTCTGTGTAAACCTTCTTTATTCAAGTCTATATATAGACATGTACCGCTGTAATAAGATGGTGATATGTATATACTCTTTCATTCCTTTCTTGATTCTATTTTGTTTCCTCTGCTCTTCCCTCTGCTCTTTATGAAATCTCACATGGTATCAGAGCTAAAAAGCTCTCACAGCGCTTCTGGATCCTTCATGGTGGAAGAGGACTCAGCAGGCTCGCGTCAAAACATCTCGGCGATCTCCAACAGAGAGACAGACCTTCTTATCCCTCCTCATCTCAAGTTCTTGATATCAAACATCAAGAATCTGGTTCCCACCTCTCTTACATCCGAAAATTACTCAATATGGAGACTCCAACTATTCCAGCATTTCTCTGCAAACGGCTTCGATGATCATCTCACAGGTCACTCCGTTTGCCCGCCGGAGACGGACGAGCCCGAGCGACATCGCTGGACTCTGATCGATCGCAACCTTGTCTCAGCGTTGCTCTCCACGATCTCTTCATCCATACTTCCATATGTGATATCTCTCCGCACCGCTCACGATGTCTGGACAACACTCGAACGTCGTCTTCAACCCACAAACCAATCTCGGGTAATACAGCTAAAAAACGAGCTTCATCAAGTGCAAATGTGCGATCGGGCAATGCATCAGTATCTAGACCAAATCAAGAAGATCGTAGACAACATAGCAGCGACCGGATCCACGGTTGACAACTAGGATATAGTTCTCTATATTCTCAACGGACTGCCAACCACATATAACCCGTTCAAAATAGCAATCCGAACCTCCTTGCATCCTATAAATCTT